TCTTACTTTGGTATTTTAGTTTATGTTAGTTTGGCATCTTTGGTAATTGGAAGTTTGATATATAGTTTTGTATATTGATAACTTGATAGTTTGGTATGTTGTTAGTTTGCTATTTGGTATTTTTGGTAATTGGAAGTTTTTTATATAGTTTGGTTTATGTTAGTTTGGTATTTGATATTTTTGGTAATTGGAAGTTTGTTTGGTTTATGTTTGGTATTTGGGTATTTTTGGTAATCGAAAGTTTGTTATTTAGTTTTGTTTAAGTTAGTTTGGTATTTGATATTTTTGTTAATTGGAAGTTTGTTTGGTTTATATTAGTTTGGTATTTGGTATTTGCCAATTTGGTATTTTTGGTAATTAGAAGTTTGTTATATAGTTTGGTTTATGTTAGTTTGGTATTTGATATTTTGGGTAATTGCAACTTTTGTTTGGTTTATGTTAGCTTGGTATTTGATATTTGGTATTTGGTATTTTTGGTAATTGGAAGTTTGTTATCTAGTTTGGTTTATATTTATTGGTATTTTGGTATGTTGACAATTTGGATGTTATTATTAATGTTCATATTTATTTTGTAAGTGGACTATCCCGTTGATGCCATTTTAAAAAACACAACATACAACAAGAAACTTTTTAAGTGGTTTCAATCGATGTCGAAAAAATGTTACGGCGGAGGTTGGGGAAATGAAGGGGATATCAGGGGTGATGACGAGGAGAATGATGGGCCCGAAGACGGCAATGATGACTAGTTAGTTTATGTTTAGTATGTTGAAAGTTTGTTAATGACTAAATACTTTATCGTTGCATTTTTATTAATTAGTAGTTTATGTTGACAATGTGGACTATGTATTAGATATTTACAATTTTATTATTGCAATCTATAGATTTTTATTAAATACTTTATGAGAATTATTTAAAAAAATATGCATTATCGGCGACACTACTTATTACCGACGACGTATAGCGCCGGCGATGTGCAGTTCTGGCGACGGACATTGTGCCGGTGATCGTTAATACCGGCACCACCATTACCGGCGACAAGGGCTATTACCGGCGACACCATTGCCGGAGATAAAAATCATTTATCAACGGACTATTAGCGCCGACGTAATAGCGGTAATACCTATATTTTTTTGTAGGGAAAGGCCAAAGGCCCATATCTAAAATGAAAATTAAATTACATTCATAAATTTAAAAGTCAGTGGATTATCAAAAAATGTCGTGGAATTTGTTAGGATCGAGACACTTAACACACGACTCTAAACACACACACAGCACACGAAAAACAAGAACACAAGGATGAACACGAGGGATTTAACGTGGTTCGGTCCTTCTCTGACCTACGTCCACCGGTAACTAGGAGTTTATATTTCTTGGTGCTAATCTGCACTCACTCTTTGTTGCTTATTTTTACAATACATATGAGACTCATATATAGAGTCTGAAGTAAACAATTGAACAAGAAAAGCAACCATGAAACATGCATCCGGGAAATATGGATCACCTCTCCTTTTCCACCTTTTTGACTTGCTTTTCTTCCATGTTTTCTGCCATGTTTTCTGCCTTTTGACCAGCCCAATGGCTTCACACTCAACAATCTCCCAGTTGAAGCCACGAAACAATCTTCACCATAGCTTCAACTGTGTATCTGTATTTCTGTAAAAACTTTTGATCTTGACTCCTTCCTAGTTACCCTGGCCTTCTCTTCAATTTACCTGAAGGCTAGTTGAAGCTTTCGTTAGCTCCAACACATCAGTCATGACTAAGTCTGCCAGGTGACCTGTTCTCTGTCTCCACTGGCTCCCACTGAAATGAACTGCCCGATCCTGGAACATCTTGAGAACAAACGACACTCTCCATATGAAGCAGATAATCTGGAGACTTTTACAGATGGAATACTGGTTCTCTTAACCCACTGTGTTCTGGGTATTCTAGCTGAAGCACAACCCTTGCTCCCACTGCTATGAATGCCCTTGGCTGGTTTTTCTGAACCGTTCCAAACACGTTCAACCTGAATCTGACCTGTGACTCTGGGTTTGCCATCTGCAAAGCAAACCTTCTTCTGTCCACGAGACTCTATGAACCGGATTTTGTTTTTCTTCTGAACTGGGACGGTTACTCCCTCAGATGGTAATCTGACCATATATAATGAACCCTTCTTATGTCCACGAGCTATCACAAGATTTCCTTTGACAACCTTCCACTGCCCATTCCTGAACTTAACCTCGTGTCCCTGTTCATCCAACTGCCCAACAGAAATCAATTGTTTCTTCAGACTTGGAATTAACCCGGACATCCTTCAAAGTCCATGGACCAACGGAGTCTTCAAAACTAAGTCACCTATGCTCGTCACATCAAGAACCTCATCGTTCGCCAGTCTTACCTTACCAAAATCTCCTTCTTTTAGATTCTGCAGTGCTTCACGGCTGTGGGGTAGCGTGAAATGAAGCAACCGAATCCATAACCCAGGAATCCACATTGCTCTCCACACTACAGATCAAAACATCATCATCTGAATGGTCTACTGCAGCGTTAACTTCTTTCTTGTCTTTTGGACATTGATTCCTGAAATGTCCAACCTCTTTACAGTTCCAAACAAGTCACATCATTTCGAGTCCTCGACTGACTCCTTCTCCTGTTCCCCCGCTCCCACTACCTCTGTTATTTTTTCTACCTCTGACCGCATTCAATTGTTCACTTGATGATTCCCCAGAATTTCTTCGTCTGACGTCTTCGCCTAGAATTAAATCCCGAATTCCCTCAAAAGTGAGCTCTTTCGATCCTGAGGAACTAGTAACGGCTGTAACTGTTCCGGACCAACTGTCAGGTAATGATGATAACAGTAGTAAAGCTTGAACTTCATCCTCAAATTTTATTCCCACTGACCCAAGTCTGGATAAAATCGAGTTCAAATTGTTGATGTGTACTGTAACTGAACTTCCTTCCCTCATCCTCGTGTTGACTAGCTCCCGAATCAGGAAGACTTTATTTGCTGCCGACGGCTTCTCGTACATATTAGACAATGCCTCCATGATTCCCTTTGCCGAGGTCTCCTTCAAAATGTTGAAGGCAACATCCTTTGACAACGTCAGTCTAATAAATGCCTTGGCCTTCTTATCCAAAATCTCCCAGTTTGCCTGTGTTATCGCCTCCGGTTTTTCACCTAAAACTGCGTCCAAGTCTTTCTGCACAAGCAAATCTTCAATTTGCATCTTCCACCAACCAAAATCTTCCCATCAAACTTCTCAATCTGAAGCTTACTGTTTTCTGCCATTTTCTGAAAGATTAGGGGCTAAACTGCAATTTTCCGAAAGTTCAGGGGCTAAACTGCAATTTTCTGAAAGTTCAGGGGCTAAACTGCAATTTTTCAAATCTGCTACAGTGTTGCTACAGTGCCTGCTAACGTCACCGCTGACGTCGTGCTACAGTGCTTGCTTCAGTTTCTGTTGACGTCACCGCTGACGTCGTGCTACAGTGTCTGCTACAGTGTCGTCTTCTCCGGCAGAACTCCGGTGCTACAGTGTCGTCTTCTCCGGCGGAACGTCGGTGCTACAGTGTCGTCTTCTCCGGCGAAACTGGTTTTTCCGGTAACTATTCCGGCAACCTTTGACCGGCGATTTGGACGTCTTCCGGTGGTCAAAAAATTCAGAAAAAAATATTTTCGGAATCTTCGGAACGAGACCTTTCCAACGGTATACACCAAAATCGTTTTTGACGAAAAAAAATTTCGACCAAAAACTGAAAATCACCTTCTGGAGCTAAAACCTTTCTTTGATACCACTTGTTAGGATCGAGACACTTAACACACGACTCTAAATACACACACAGCTCACGAAAAACAAGAACACAAGGATGAACACGAGGGATTTAACGTGGTTCGGTCCTTCTCTGACCTACGTCCACCGGTAACTAGGAGTTTATATTTCTTGGTGCTAATCTGCACTCACTCTTTGTTGCTTATTTTTACAATACAGATGAGACTCATATATAGAGTCTGAAGTAAACAATTGAACAAGAAAAGCAGCCATGAAACATGCATCCGGGAAATATGGATCACCTCTCCTTTTCCACCTTTTTGACTTGCTTTTCTTCCATGTTTTCTGCCATGTTTTCTGCCTTTTGACCAGCCCAATGGCTTCACACTCAACAGAATTATCATCTCATACATAGAGAAAGGGTTGGAAAAAAAAATTACCTTTAGACCAAAATGGGTTGGAAAATCTCGATGGGAAGCCCCACAAAACGAAAGCACTCACATGGCTTTTTATGATCGTTATGCTCACACACTTCAATCATCTCAAACTTTTCCTTCATGAATTTATTGCTGATAGTAACTAGACGAGACGTTCGTTGATTTTTTCAAAAGTATTACTGATTCTTCATGTCTTCAATACCCACTTTCCTGCATGGTTCCCACCGTAATAATTGAGGAATTATTAGTTATATTTTTAATGATAAAGACACCCACCACCTATTTGATGTTATGTCACAGTGAATACCAGAAGTAGAATTGGTGTATTTATAGGCATTACACGAATAGTTTTTTGTTTATTTTTTCATAATTCCTTGGTTTGATGTCGATTTGAGACTTTTGGTTACTCTTACACTCATCTCATCTACATTTTTGTTCTTTGAAGGAACCGGTATTCAAGCACAAGTCGGATCTCTTCCTCAATATGAAGGCAAGTTCTTTTGTATGGTGTTTCTGTTTTTTAAAGTCCATGTAATTCAACTAGTTTTTGTGTCTGACGAAACATTAACTGGACATATAATATGCCAATCATAGTTTTCACTTTAATAAGTTCAAAGTGGATGAACCATGTAGCATCACATAAGTACAAACACTTCATACTTTCAAACCAACGCACAACATTAAGAAACCATGCACATATGTTGTTTTTGATGTGTGCTATTTTATTTTTATTTTTGAAGTTTGTGTGAAGACTATTTGATGCTATCTTGCAGTAAATGCTCTTCGTGAAATAGCGGAGCAATTGGGTAAAAGAGATTGGGATTTTAGCCTAAACCCATGCGATGGAAATCAAAATTGGTCAACACCCATAATCAGTACAGAAATGCCTGTTTATAACAACTCTATTAACTGTAACTGCTCCTTTCCAGGAAATGTTTGTCACGTAGAGTCCTTGTAAGTTGTATTGTTTCATTTTTGTATATACTCTACAAATTTAACAATACCTTGTAAACCTCCAAAATTAACACTTTTTCGTGTTATTTTCTTTTTGTCCCTTGGACTGGTGGACTAAGAGTTCAAAATGAGATATTCATAGAGGATTATAATATAATTTCCCTAGAGAGGTATAACTGGAATTTGTCATATAATTCAAGAGTTGCAACTTTGCTTTATGAACAGACGTCTCAAGGGGCAGGATCTTGACGGTGTTCTTCCCCGATCCCTGGCAAAGTTACCTTACATCAAGATCATGTAAGCCAAAGGCTTGTGTTTATACCTCTATCCAAATTAAAAATAAAAATAAAAATAATGATTGATATATACCATGGTTTAAGGCATCATTATGTCGATGATTGTATCTTGCAGTGATCTGGCTCGTAATTATCTAAGTGGCACCATACCACGTGAATGGGCTTCAATGACCACACTGGAGTACTTGTGAGCTCTCTCTCTCTCTCTCCCTCCCTCCCTCCCTCCCTCCCTCCCTCTCTCCAGTTTATATTTGTGATTTTGAAAACTTTCTAAATGGAAGCAACTGTGTCCTAGGTCTGTTTTTGTGAATAATTTGTCCGGAGGAATCCCAACATATTTGGGCAACATAACCTCACTGGTATATCTGTACGTTCTCTCACTCACACTTCCGTTTCTTGCTCTCTCTCTCTCTCTCTCTCTCTCTCTCTCTCTCTCACACACACACACACACACACACTCACTCTTAAGATAGTACTTGAATAAGTTGTGATCAATAATGGCAACTGTCCATTAGGAAGATCTTACCTAAGGAAGAATTATATATATGGGGGGTCTAGAATTTCACATAAGTTATAAAATGATTTTATGTTTGATGGATAAATAAATATCAGGAGTCTGGAGAGTAACATGTTCTCTGGAATTGTTCCACCTGAGCTTGGAAAACTAGAAAATTTAGCAACCCTGTACGTAAGCCTTCTTTGTACTGCATATTTACTTCTACTTTTCATGATTATAGATCATGATGTAATTGATAAAATATTTCTCTACAATGGTTGTTTTCAAATTAATTTGTAGGATCCTTAATGCAAATAATCTTTCTGGCAAGTTGCCAATGGAGCTCAATAACCTGAGCAACTTGAAAGAACTGTAGGCACACTCCATCCTTCCAATTTCCAAACTAATGTTTTAAATAGCTTGATTTTTCTAGCCATTGATGTGTTGTTTCTTTTCTCACATAATTTTCTAAAGTAGTTATTACTACTTCTCACACATTTTCAGCCGTTTAAGTAGCAACAATTTCACTGGAAAAATCCCAAGCCTTGAGAGCTGGAGTCAGCTTGAGGAACTGTAAGTCTGTGGTCATCAGTACTGAATCATTGTAAGTCTATTCCTTCTTTTTGCTTCCTATCGTTTCCATCTTCTGTCCTCAGAGAGATCCATGCTAGTGGCCTAGAAGGACCAATACCTGAAAGTGTTTCCTTCTTGAGCAATTTAACAGAACTGTAAGTTCAAAACATTCTCCCTCGATCATGATTTTCACTTCTTTCTATTAATTCATGCTGTAAGTTCTAAACTACATGTCTTTATGTAATCTCTGTGCAGACGGATTTCTGATTTAAGTGGAGAAGGCTTAAAGTTTCCAAATCTGAGTAGGTTAACAAACATGAAAACGTTGTAAGTGTTGGTAGAATTTAGAAAACTAGTAACAAGTTCTATAATTTTAAAACTGGTATGTTCAAGAATTTTGGTGGATGTTTCAGGATGTTGAGAAGCTGTAATATAACAGGGAAAATTCCTGATTATATATCAAATTTATCCAATTTGAAGCATTTGTAAGAGTTCCCCGTATTCCAATTTTGCTTCAGCACATAATTTGTATCCTTTGTGTTTCTACGTTATGATCTTCTTTAGTCTTTGTTTATATTTCCTGAAGTATTACTTCTGTCTATATTTATGTACGTACACAGAGATCTCAGTTTCAACAATCTGAATGGTGAAATACCAGACCTAAGTGGACTAAAAAGTATTGAAAAAATGTAAGAAAGATATCCGTTTACTTTATCGTCCATGTATGATTTGCTTCAACCAAATATCAAGATTATTATTGTTCATGATTACAGGAATCATCTATATTTGCAGCAATAATCAAATCGGAAGTATATTTCAATAAAAGAAAACATATTCATAGTGTTCTTTAACATAGGAAAAAGGAAATAAATAAAGGATACTGCTGTAAATAGTAACAACGTTATTTGGTGAAATGACTAGATATCTAACTGGTAACTCCCTGAACGGAAGTGTTCCTACATGGATGATCACCAATAAAGATGTTGATCTGTATGTTTTTTCGAGCCTCATTTCAGCATTACTTTTGTATATGGCATCGGTAATCATGAAGCTCAACATGCTCTTGTTTATAATGCAGTTCAATAGATCTTTCCTATAACAACTTTAGAGAAAATACTGTCCCATCAGGTTGTGATAGATCACTGTAAGTTTTCAGCTCTCAAATGCTTTTTTCATGTGCACATAAAAAGTTAAAAACTGAAGTTAAAAGTTTTCTTTCATTCATCAGGAACTTATACAGAAGCTACTCTACTGGGAATAATTCGTAAGTTTAATTATACCCTGCTACTATTCTTCAAAAATAAATGCAACATTTATGTAATAAGAGATCGAGACACCAATTAAGTTTCTCATGTTTGATTTTGTGTAGAGAGCTTGCGAAGTGCCTTCGTCCTTGCATCCAGAGTACTGAGCAACATTGTTTCCAGTAACATTGTGTTTCCATAATATTAAAAACAAATTAAGCTGATCCCTTTAATGTTTCTCCAGACATATCTTCAGTTCATATCAATTGTGGTGGGCCAAGAGTTACCATTGGAAAAAAGACTTATGAAGCAGATGAAGATCCAGGTGGACCTGCAATTTTTGTTCGTTCAAACGAAGATTATTGGGGATATAGCAGCACAGGAAGTATATGGAAAGTTAAGGACAACCTTATTAAACACGTCACAACTAATTTAACTCTACTCACTATGAAAGACGTTAAGCTTTACACAAATGCTCGCAAGTCTCTATTGTCTCTTACTTACTTCGGGCGTTGCTTACAAAATGGAAAAATATACAGTTAAACTACATTTTGCAGAGATAGTTTTCAGAGATAATAGATCTTACCATAGTCTTGGAAGACGTTCTTTTGATATTTATGTCCAGGTTGAAAATTCTTCTTATGTAAATGAAAAGGATTAATCAAGTAAACAACAGCTAAGCATGTGTTTGTTTGCATTTTAATTTTATTTTTTACTGTTTGCAGGGCATAAATCAAGTGAAGAATTTTGATATTAAGAATGAAGCTGGTGGAGTCGATAAGCCCAGAATAAAGATAATAAAAAACGTATGTGTAACTAATGGAACATTAGAAATCCGGTTCCACTATGCAGGGAAAGGCACAACAGCCACCCCTCAGAAGGGAGATTTTGGCCCTCTGATATCTGCCATATCAATGGAGTCCGGTATGCTTAATTATTATCCACATATTTTAGAAAAATTTACTTTTCATCACAAATCTCTTCTAGTGATCTATTTATAATCTGTTTAGATTAGATGACTTACTAATATATTTCTTTCTATAGAGTCCAAGGCTCCAACTCATGGTAAAATATTTGCATATGCTGCTGGAGCGATGGCTGCACTGTTGTGCCTCAGTCTCATAGTTCTTGGTATCGCATGGAAGAGGGGTTATATATGGGACAAAAATTCAAGAGAAAAAGGTGTTTGATTTACTACTCAATTTTTAAGAAAATTAAGTTTATATCATTGAATATCCTAAGAACTTGCAGCACCCACTGCCCAAAATAGGCAGTAGGCTCAACAGACATAGTAAACTTATTGTGGAAAATGTTGCCTCCAAAATTAGCAAGTGGCAAATAGTTCAGGGGTTATTTCTGTAACTTATCATTTACTATTCATAGTTTGACTATGAATAGTAATATAAGTGTGAAATGTTTGAAAATGAGAATGGACGGTAATATGGATTGGCAACTTGTTTGGTAAAATATTAGGCGCATGCTTTTTGGGTCAACAATGGAGGCGCAGTATAAACAAGTCAAATTAGAAGGCGCAGCAATTTTTGGACGAAAAACTCTTTTTTCTTTTCCTTTCATATTACATTCCCTTTGGCTATAAATAGCCTAAGCCATTTTCATCATAAACACACGAACCAAAATCAAAGTATATATAGAAAAAGCATAATATATATACTTATACACCACCGTATATTTTAGCTCTCCCACTCTATTTGTAATCTCTTTCATAATCCCTGTAAACACTGCAAATATAGTGAATTGTTTTTCGGCTTCCTCCGCCCGTGGTTTTTTCCCGATTTGGGTTTCCACGTAAATTCCTGTGTCTCTATTCTATTTATTTTATTCGTATTACATTGTGATTATTACGCTTTGATAATTTTTGATCCCATTCCGCATTGAGCTAATATTATTTAAGTCAATTTGGATCCGTCGTATTTTACAACAATTGGTATCAGAGCATCCAGGTTGTGATATTAGCTCGTTGGGATCATTTTATCAAGTAATTAATCATGTCTTCGGTAAAATACGATATTCCACTACTGGATCGTAACACCCGATTTCTGTTGTGGCAAGTAAAGATGAGAGACATTCTCATTCAGATGGATTTACACAAGGCGCTCTTGGGTTTCAATAAGATGCCCGATACATGGACCGAAGAAGAAAAGGAGATGAAAGATCTGAAGGTTTTATCCCAGATTCGTTTGCACTTTTCAAACGATGTTTTGCAAGATGTTCTAAAAGAAACGTCAGCGGCTTCTTTATGGCTAAAGTTGGAACAACTGTTGATGACCAAGAGCTTACCAAACAAGTTGCATTTGAAGCAACGGTTGTTCAATCTCAAGATGATTGAAGGAGGCTCTTTAGCTGAACATATATCCACATTTAAAGAGTTAGTAAATAACTTAGAGAATATGGATGTTCAGTATGAAGATGAAGACTTGGCTCTATTCTTACTATCGTCGTTGCCAGAATCCTATAGCCATTTTCGTGATACTATTATCTATAGCCGTGACACTCTAGTTTTAGATGAAGTCTATACAGCTTTGGATTCAAAAGAGAAGATGAAGCATATTACTGGTGGTGGTTCAAGTGATGCTAAAGCCGAAGGTTTGAATGCCAGAGGAAGAACAACAGAGAGAAATAGAACTTCTCAATCTTCCAACAGAACCAGATCCAAGTCAAAAGGCAAACGAAAGTTTTGCAACTATTGTCACAAGAAGGGACATGTGCTTGAAGAATGCTTCAAGTTGAAGAACAAAGAAAAAGAGAAGACAGCAGCAAATGGTAAACAAGCTAGCACTTCGGGTGAAGCCGATCTAGCTGAGGTCGAAGGTATTGGAGAACTTTTGACAGTTTATTCAGATAAACTGGATTCCACTGGTGATTGGATACTCGACTCTGGTTGTACTTTTCATATGTGTCACAACAAAAGTTGGTTTTACACATTTGAAAAGGTTAACCAGGGCTATGTGTTGATGGGTAACAATACTACATGTCCAGTTCTTGGACATGGTTCAGTCAGGATCCGTATGTTTGACGGAGTTATTCGAACCATGGGGATGTTAGATATGTTCCTGACCTCAGAAGAAACTTGTTATCTCTCAGTTCCTTTGACAAAAAGGGATACGAGTTTGCTGGTAAAGGTGGAGTTCTCAGGGTATTCAAAGACGGTTCCGACAAACTGAGAGCCGAACGAAAAACCTCAGATCTTTACTTTCTTGACGGGCAAACAATTTCGAGTGATGCTGCTGTTGTGTCAAAGTCTTTTTCTGATCCAGATCAGTCCCGTCTTTGGCACCTTCGACTCGGCCATATGAGTTTTCAAGGCATGTCAGAATTGAGTCGAAGAGGTTTACTTGGTCAACAAAAGATTGTTGATTTGGATTTCTGTGAAGACTGTGTATATGGCAAGGCAAAACGAGTGAGGTTTGCAAGTGGTATCCATACAACGAAAGGACCACTTGATTATGTTCACTCGGATTTGTGGGGACCGGCTCGAGTTGCTTCAAAAGGTGGAGCTATTTATATGCTCACTATTATTGATGATTTCTCCAGGAAGGTGTGGTCTTTCTTCTTAAAAAATAAAGGAGACGTTTTCTCTACCTTCAGAAATTAGAAAGTTCAGGTTGAAAAGCAATCAGGTATGGTGGTAAAGTATCTTCGTATGGATAATGGACTTGAGTTTTGCTCAAAAGAGTTTAATGTCTATTGTCAAAAGGAAGGCATTACTCGACATCGCACAGTAGTCCATTCACCTCAACAAAATGGTGTAGCTGAAAGGATGAATCGCACCATTAGAAGGTCCGGTGTATGCTTTCTAATTCCAAATTGCCAAAGTCTTTTTGGGCGGAGGCTGCTTCGAATGCTTGCTATGTTATCAACCGATCACCATCACGAGCAATCGAGAAGAAAACTCCGTTTGAATTATGGTCCGGTAAACCTGCAAATTATTCAGATGTAAAACCATTCGGATGTCCAGCGTATGCACGAGTTGACAATGGGAAGCTAGAACCAAGAGCAATCAAATGCGTTTTTCTTGGGTACAATCAAGGTGTAAAGGGTTACAAGTTATGGAGCTTTGATTTGAAGAAAATTATCATCTCAAAAGATGTTACTTTTGATGAGTCTGCTATAATTCAACCAGTTGCTGACTCTTCTAAAAGAACAGATGCATCAGATGTATCATCCGAAGCAAATAAAGAGAATGCTCAAATGGAGGTGGAGTTTCCTACTTCACCTACCACTAACCAGAGTACAAATCAGCATCAAGATTCTTCTTCGTCGGATGAGCATGTTGTTGGTGAAGATTCAACACCTTCACAACCACAAGCTACTACTCCAAGCATTGCAAGAGATAGACCGGGAAGACAGATTATTCCTCCGAAGAGGTATGCTGAATCTGATTTGGTTGCCTATGCTTTTATTGTTGCTGATAATATTGAGTCTGCAACGGAGCCTGCAAATTATGACGAGGCTATCAAATCTGAAGACTCAAATGATTGGATGCTCGCTATGCAAAATGAGATGGAATCTTTGCAGCGAAACAGTACTTGGAATTTAGTTCCTATTCCGAAAGGGAAGAGACCAATTAAATGCAAGTGGGTCTACAAGCTCAAGGAACCTGTCAACCCAAATGATAAACCAAGATACAAAGCTCGGTTAGTAGCTAAAGGCTACAGTCAGATTCCTGGTATTGATTACACTGACATTTATTCCCCAGTTGTCAAACATACTTCCATTCGTGTATTGTTGGGGTTGGTTGCTTCTAACGATTTTGAGTTAGAACAACTTGATGTCACTACAGCTTTCCTAAATGGTGAGCTTGAGGAAGAGATTTTTATGCAACAACCTGAAGGTTTTGTAGTTCCTGGAAAGGAGAACTACGTATGCAAATTGAACAAAACTCTTTATGGCCTCAAGCAGTCTCCTAGACAATGGTACAAGAGGTTCGATTCTTTCATGACCAGTCACAAATTCAGCAGGTGCACCTATGATAGTTGCGTTTATTTCAAGAAAGGTGACAATGGTTCAAAGATCTACTTACTCTTGTACGTGGATGACATGTTGATTGCAGCAAAAGATATGAAGGAGATTCAGAAGTTAAAAGACCAGTTGAAAGCTGAATTTGAAATGAAGGACTTAGGAGCTGCCAAAAAAGATTTTAGGTATGGAAATTATTCATGACATGAAGTCTAGGATCTTGCATCTTTCTCAGAAAAGTTATATTGAGAAAGTCCTAAGACGCTTCAGTATGCACGAAGCAAAGTCTGTCAACACACCTTTTGCAGCTCATTTCAAGCTATCATCCGCTTTGAGTCCTACTAATGAGACTGATATGGCTTACATGGCACGTGTTCCATACTCTAGTGCTGTTGGATATTTGATGTATGCTATGATCTGCACGCGCCCTGATTTGGCTTATGCTGTTAGCATGGTTAGTAGATACATGGCGAACCTGGGGAAAGAACACTGGAAAGCAGTACAGTGGATTTTTCGTTATTTACGCGGTACGTCTTCTATGTGTTTACGTTTTGGTAAATCTAACACTGGGGTGTTCGGATATGTTGATTCAGATTATAGCAAAGATTTGGATAAACGAAGATCAATTACAGGGTATGTGTTTACTCTAAATGGTTGTGCTGTTAGTTGGAAAGCCCAATTACAGTCTACAGTTGCCCTGTCTTCTACCGAGGCAGAGTATATGGCGATTACAGAAGCAGTTAAGGAAGATATCTGGTTGAAGGGGTTATTTGGAGAACTCGATGATAGAATAAAGGTGACCACAATTTTCTGTGACAACCAGAGTGCTATATTCTTGAGTAAAGATCAAATGTTTCATGACCGAACAAAGCATATTGATATTCGTTATCATTTTGTGCGGGATATCATTGAAAAAGGTGATTGTGTTGTGGACAAGATTCATACAGATTATAATCCCGCTGATATGTTCACCAAAAGTCTTCCTATAGTCAAGTTCAAATTATGTTTGGACATGGTGGGTGTTTCTGATCGCAGTTGAGCCTGAAGGCTCGTGGTGGAGGAAGTATTATTTATTTTTCGGAAACAATTTTTTCTCTATATAAAATTTGCAGGTTCTTATGGAAGTTTTAGAGTTTGATGAGCTATAGGTTTTGACTAATCGTAAAGCATGACTTGCTTAATTTTGATGTCAAGGTGGAGATTGTGGAAAATGTTGCCTCCAAAATTAGCAAGTGGCAAATAGTTTAGGGGTTATTTCTGTAACTTATCATTTACTATTCATAGTTTGACTATGAATAGTAATATAAGTGTGAAATGTTTGAAAATGAGAATGGACGGTAATATGGATTGGCAACTTGTTTGGTAAATATTAGGCGCATGCTTTTTGGGTCAACAATGGAGGCGCAGTATAAACAAGTCAAATTAGAAGGCGCATCAATTTTTGGACGAAAAACTCTTTTTTCTTTTCCTTTCATATTACATTCCCTTTGGCTATAAATAGCCTAAGCCATTTTCATCATAAACACACGAACCAAAATCAAAGTATATATAGAAAAGCATTAAATATATATACTTATACACCACCGTATATTTTAGCTCTCCCACTCTATTTGTAATCTCTTTCATAATCCCTGTAAACACTGCAAATTATAGTGAATTGTTTTTCGGCTTCCTCCGCCTGTGGTTTTTTCCCGATTTGGGTTTCCACGTAAATTCCTGTGTCTCTATTCTATTTATTTTATTCGTATTACGTTGTGATTATTACGCTTTGATAATTTTTGATCCCATTCCGCATTGAGCTAATATTATTTAAGTCAATTTGGATCCGTCGTATTTTACAACACTTATAAAGTAATATTTCTTTGTGAAATGCACATATTTCAATGGTAAAAAATTATTTTCCTGCAGATCTAAGAGGATTGGATTTGCAGATGGGTGTATTTACATATAGACAAATCAAGGCTGCCACTGACGATTTTGCTGATTCAAATAAACTTGGCGAAGGAGGGTTTGGATCCGTCTACAAGGTGACATTCTTAAGACGTTAATTTCATTTTTTACAATCAACATTGTAACTATATGAAACTTCACCAATGTTAAAGATAAAAGATCAAAGATGAAAGAAAAGAAGAATCAAATTAAGGTGTCACTTCCAATTAAGAGCCTAAACCTCAAATTTATGAATCACAGGGTACACTATTAGATGGAACTCTAATCGTTGTGAAGCAACTCTCTTCCAAATCAAAACAAGGAAACCGTGAATTTGTGAATGAAATAGGCATGATAGCTGGTATACAACACCCTAATGTTGTAAGGCTACATGGGTTTTGTGTGGAACGCAAGCAACTACTGCTTGTTTATGAGTACATGGAAAATAATTCTCTAGCACATGCTCTATTTGGTATTCTCCTTTTCTTCTACTTCTTGAGTAGTAACTTCCTCCACCCCCATAAGAACTTTGAAGTGTGTGTACATATATATATATATATATATATATATATATATATATATATATATATATATTACTTTGTGGATTAAAAATATCTAATCATTAGTCAAATTTCTAAAATACTATTCAACAATGACCAAAACCAACATCATCAATATATAATATAGTGATGACAAATGAAACACATAGGTAGCTATAATGTGAATGGTTTTGAAAGAAGGTAATGTTGCAACATATATGTATGAGTCGGTTCTCCATTGATAACAAATTTCTTAATTTAAGATGCTTTTATAAAATCTCAGAGCAGTATAACTATAAGTTGGAAATTGAGTGGCCTACAAGACAAAGAATTTGTGTGGGAATTGCAAAAGGCCTGGCTTTCCTGCATGAGGAGTCGGTGCTAAGAATGGTTCATAGGGACATCAAGGCGACTAATATTCTCCTAGATGATGACCTTACTCCAAAGATATCAGATTTTGGTTTGGCAAGGCTTGATGAAGAAGAGAACACTCACATCATGACGAGAGTTGCTGGAACTATGTGAGCAACAGTCTCGCTGTCTTTTCTAATAATATCATGTTTCTTTTATTAATTACTTCCAGTTTTCTTTTGTTCAATTTGCTTTTGGCATCTTCAGAGGGTACATGGCACCAGAATATGTATTATATGGATACTTAACCTACAAAGCAGATGTATACAGTTTCGGGGTTCTTGCACTGGAAATCGTTACTGGAAAAAACAATATGAAATATACGCCACACGATGATTGCTTTTGTCTTCTTGACTGGGTACAACTTATTTCTTAAAAAACACAGTTTGATCCTTCACCACAGTACTCCTAACCCATTCACTGTTTTATGATCATAAATGTGTTTGTCTTTTCTAAGGCTGTTGTTCTGAAGAAAAAAGGGCGTTTGATAGACTTGGTGGACCCGCGGTTGGGTTCTGAATTCAACAAAAAAGAGGCATTGAGAATGATCGAAATTGCTCTATTATGCACTAATGAGTCCCCAGCTCTTAGGCCTATCATGTCTGAAGTAGTTAATATGTTGGAGGGCCGTACCAAAATCGAGGAACTAAATGTAAATGTGAACACGTCTGAAGAAGAGAACAGGTTTCAGGCACTTGGTGGGAAATTTGAAGGGATGCAGTCACATGAGTTTGATCGAACAGATATACCTATTAATCCAGCATCTTCCAGCTCAAATGACCTCTATCCCAACAGTCAAATTTCTCAAAAATCTTGACTCATACTTGCATAAGCACTACTTATTTGATATCCTTTTGTAATGGCCATATGTAATATCCGTTTTCTAACAATTAATTGTAGTATATTTATATAATTCAGTGGAACCTTTTTTAAGATATTCTCTATAATAAACTACTATTTCTTACCGGTTATGTAATATGCAAACTGTATGTTACATCTTTATCTTTTCTTTATCTTTATATATGTTAACACGCTGTCGCGCACGTATTAAACAAATAAATTTATCACTGTTGGTTGCACTAAAAATATAGCACAGGGAAGCAGGGTCGAATCCTCAGGGACACAGCCTAAAAGTCAATGCCTTTTTGCATCAGGCACATCTAGTCAAGAAACAAAGTATAAAAGGGGGGTTTTTGATTAAAACTAATAACTAGAAATGCAGTGATAATAAAGTAAACGAAAATCAATAATAAAAATGGTTTCAGCTCTGCTGTGACTTTCCTAATCATGCAACTGATCCAGATCTGATTATTTGAGATGCGTTCTATCTAAGTTGGTACTGAGAAAAACTAACAAGCTCTAGTAATTTCTCTTTTACCTTATTTAGTTAACCAAAACAAGCTCTTCAATTAACCCTAACTTTTTACTGTCTAATCAAACAAGCTCTTAATTAAGATCAGAAAAGTTGCATTAAGTTCTTTGTAAAATTCCCAGCAATACCCAATACTTCTCACAAGCTCGGAAGCGTAAAGGTCTGATTTTTACAGTTTATAATAAAGTCAAATCCCAAACACAGAACCGATTTATTACTTGTTACTTATTACCAATTAATTAGAACAATTATGGATTCTATTAACTGATTAACTGGAATGATAAAACCCTAGCTAGGTGATCAGACTAACAAGAATCAAAATCAAACATTCATTAAGAACAAAACTGAAGAATCTAGATAGAAACACAAATCAAAAACCAGATCTAATGATCAATCACATGAAAAGTACTTGTCTTTGCAAAACTGAAAACTAGGGTTTAGCCAGACATAGCTAAAATCTGATCTAAAACAATAAAAAGAAACATTAAACTACTAAATCTTACTAAACTAAACGTAGGAGATGATCCACAGTCTTCAGATCTTCAGAAATTGATGAAATCGGAGAAGAAACACCTCCAAAATCGTATTTTCGTCGTCTGGAACCTCTGGAATCGCCAACTTAGGTTACTGGAAGGTTATAAGATCTATTTATACGTCCAGCAGTAAAAACGACGTACCTGCGATCGCATGTACACAACATGCGATCGCAGGTTTTGAAATAAACACGTCTGGTGCCTTTTTAATGAAGTAGGATGCTATTTTGACACTTTTTGGCCAACCTGCGATCGCATGTACACAACATGCGATCGCAGGTATTGAGTTTTCACTCCCGGATGAATTTTGGGCACAAAAGAACCTCGAAGGCAACCTGCGACCAAACCTGCGATCGCAAAAAGGGTCACCTACGATCGCAAGGAGACAACCTGCGATCGCAAGGAGACAACCTGCGATTGCAGGTTGTGCCTATGACGTCCGGAATTTCGTCTACTTTTCAGATCATTTTGAATCGCGTCAATCGGAGTTACGGTTCTCGAGATATGGTCAAAATACTGACAGGGGGTCAAAGCTACCAGCAACATCCTTTAACTTTAGATTGCATATTCTATCTTCGTGTGATCAATTCAATCCAATGTTTCTTGACCAAAGCATCTTCCAAACATTCCTCATAATCCTTCATAAGTCCCAAGCTCCATTTTAAGCTCCAAACGCGCATCCAACTGCTCCCAAAGCACTGCTCCATTCGAACTATCTGAAATCGACATAAAAACATGAGCAGTACGAGAATTCTAACAAAATACATGAGCTGGACATTATTTAAATATATGACATGCAAATGTACAAAATATGATGCTAAAATGATAATGAAAACTACCCTATAAGATGCATAAAACGGCATCTAACAATATACTATCTTTATCTTTAACTATCTTTATCTTTATCTTTACATCTTTATAATAAAGGTTATTTAAATTAATATGGTTCGAAATGTTGGCGTTGGGAGGACAAGAATGTTATCGAAAACGATATGAATCTTGTATTGTTTATAGGATCATGTGATAACTTTCGGGATATGATATTTCAACCTATGTCTAGTTACATGAAAACAAAATTATGGGGATAATTCTTTAAGGAACAGTTTTGTATTAAGGCACAGATATAAGACCATGAACTAGGGTTTATAGAATTTGAATTCTTATAGTAACATCTTGTTTTTAGGTATTTTTGAAATTCATCAATTGGTTTTAATCATTTCATTTTTGGCCCCTGTAATTGGAAGGAAGTGGCCATGGGAAGCCCTAGGGGCAAATTTGTAATTTATAAGTGGGAGGAGTACGCTAAGTGTACATGTGGGTACGCTAAGCGTACTAGGACAGACCCTAGTACGCTGGGTGTACACATATGTACGTTGGGCATACTCATATCTGAGTGGAACCCTAATTTTTAGGGTGTGTGGGGTATTTAAGCACCTTTATGAATCATTTTACCCTCGTGTTTTCAGCCTCCAAGCCCTTGAATCTCTTTTGGAAAACCCTAACCCCATAAGAGAGTGTCTTGAGCTAAAAGTGTGTTCTTCGTGTGCTTAAAGAAGAAGAGTTGCATCAAGGAGCTTAGAAGTTGAAGCAAGCTTGTGGATCTTGAATCACTTCCTTCTTGGGAAGCTCCAGAAGGTAAAAAAAAGTCTTCACCTTGATGCTTTGTTTGCTTAGATCTCATCTTAATAGCTTTATGATGTCCATCTTATCTCAAAAGTCTCATGTCTATGCATGGTTGGTTTTGGACATTTTGGGTTGTCCTTTTAGACCCTAGGAAGGGTCCTAAGCCATAAAAATGAGGTCCCTTTAGCTAGTTTGGATCCATGCTTCTTGTAGAAGTTCTTAATGGATTAAGACCTTGCATTAACGACTTTATAGACGTGAAAAGTCATAAAGTTGGAGACTTTATGACTTTATAGGGCATTTGGACCATAGATCTGAAATATGGGCTTAAGTGCTTAAGCCATTAAGCACTTAATGAAGGTTTAAGGGCTGCAAAATTACGCTCAGCGTAGGTGGGAGTACGCCCCGCGTACTCAGTCAGCCACCCCGTAATCTGGTCAATGTGCGGTTCCTTGTACGCTCAGCATACCTCCGGTGTACGCCCAACGTACTCGCCTGGGTCAGCCCATGTTGAGTTAACTCGGTTGGGTTGACTCAATGGGTTTATGGACTTTGACGAGTTGACTTTATGTTTGACCAAGTTTGACTTTTGAGGGTCTTTTGGGTATTGTTGGGATTTTAATGGAATTGGTCACTTGGTGGTTGTAGGCATTTGAGTGGAGAGCTGAGATTCGGAGATGGGCTTTATCAGTTCTATTTATGAGGTGAGTTTTCCTCACTGTACTTACAGGTCTAAGGCACCAAGGCATTGGTTTGAGAATTTGATAGTCGTTGATATGTTGAGTATGGATAGATATGCATGCTAGATTTGATATGCTAGTCTGGTAGATCTATAGGACTGCATGTGATATTGTCTGATTATCTGTATATGATATTATATGTTATATGTCGACATATTGCGTGGGTTGGGTTGAGGTTCTGCTGAACAAAGAGATGCCTTTGGAAAAGGTACAGTGGAAGCACCGAAGAGGGTCCGAGTGGACATGGGAGCCAGAGGCGGAAATGCGGGAGCACTATCCAGGGTTGTTCACCGCAGCAGACTTCGAGGACGAAGTCTAGTTCACGTGGGGGAGAATTGTAACGCCCCGATTCTCAAAGTATTAATTTATGGTTTTAATTTTCATGATTTCAAGGTCTACTCGACGAGTTGGTTGCCCTGACTCGTCGAGTAGCAGCGGGTTGGTCCACGTGCTTAAGTGACCTACTCGCCGAGTCCAAGAAGAGACTCGTCGAGTGGGAGCTGGAGGATGAAAACCTAATTTCTGGGGTTTTGCACCCTATTTAAAGGATCATAAGCCTCCTTCAGCCCCTTTACAGCCTCTTGAGAGTTCAGCAAACCCTAATCTGTGTGTGTGCTTCATCCTTGTGTGTTTCAAGCTTTGGGAGGTGGATCTTTGTAAGAAGAACTTGGAGAGTGGCTAGGAGAAAAGAACGTGTGGGGGATCTGATATCTACCTCAGTTGGCATCTCTTGGAAGGTATCAAGTCGTTACCCTGATCTCATTTCCTTCTAGATCCCATTTGATTAAAGAGTAGGGCTTTTCTAGCATAATAAGAAGCTATTCTTGGGTATGAGCTAAGATCTGAGGTTGTAACTTCGGATCTGAACTCTCTTTGGTCTCTAAGTCCATAAAGCTATCAGCTTTGGCAAGTATGAACCCCTCCTTAAGTGTAAAACTCCATTTCAATCTTGGATTTGTCATTTGGAGTCTTTAGAGCCTTGCATGCACGTAAATTTTGCAACTTTACGTGATGAACATGCCTTGGGGAATTGGATCTGCAATATGGAACCTCATGATGGCTTAAAAAGCATCTTGACGGAGGAAGGACTGAAGGGACTCGATGAGTTGTATGGTCAACTCGGCGAGTCCGCTGAAGATTGTCGTGAACTCAGCGAGTCAATAGGGTGACTCGGCGAGTCAGTTAGGGGTTTCCCGGCTTTTGGCATGCATGAACTCGGCGAGTTGTAGGGAAACTCGAAGGGTTGGCCAAGGAGTTTACGGCCGCAAACATTAGGAACTCGACGAGTCACTCATGTGACTTGGGGAGTTGCTGAGTTATGCAAGGAATTCAACGAGTGGCTGGTTGTACTCGACGAGTTGAGGTCAACATGGACTGTTGGCCTTGACCTTTGACTTGGACTTTAACCAACGGTAGACTATTTGACTTCTAGGAGCATTTTGGGAAATTGGAAATTATGAGTATGGTTCTATGGTGAATATTGGTGGTGGAGTTTGTGACAGTGATCCGAGAGTGGAGCTTATCACTTCAGCACGTCAGTTGTGAGGTGAGTTATCCTCACTGTACTCAAGGGTCTAAGGCACCAAGGCCGACCCTTTGTTTTGTTATTGGGGTTATTACTATTGTGATATGTTAATTTGGTATCCTGGTAGATAGGATGGTTATATGCTAGTATGATATGTTAGATCGGTAT